CAGAGTGATGTGTGTCAGTATGCACAGAGAGATCTATGTCAGTATGCACAGAGAGATGTGTGACAGTATGCACTCAGAGAGATTTGTGACAGTATCCACAGAGAGATGTGTGACAGTATGCAAACACAGAGATGTGTGTCAGTTTGCACAGAGAGATGTGTGACAGTATGGACAGAGAGATGTGGGTCAGTTTGCACAGAGAGATGTGTGAAAGTATGCACAGAGAGATGTGTGAAAGTATGCACACAGAGAGATGTATGTCAGTATGCACAGAGAGATGTGTGACAGTATGCACAGAGAGATGTGTGAAAGTATGCACACAGAGAGATGTGGGTCAGAATGCACAGAGAGATGTGTGACAGTATGCACAGAGAGATGTGTGTCAGTATGCAAAGTAAGATGTGTGTCACTATGCACAGAGAGATTTATGACAGTATGCACAGAGAGATGTGTGTCAGTGTGCTCAGAGAGATATGTGTCAGTATGCTCAGAGAGATGTGTGACAGTATGCACACAGAGAGATGTGTGTCAGTATGCACAAAGAGAGATGTGTGTCAGTATGCACAGAGAGATGTGTGTCAGTATGCTCAGAGAGATGTATGTCAGTGTTGGGTTCTCAGGGAGGAACGACAAACGCGGGAGCAGGGAGACGAGCCTGCCACTTGACCGGCTGTTTATTCCGACTGTCGCATGTTACATAACAGCACGTGATTGCGCTTACCTGCAACTAATCGCATTACAAGAGCGGACATCTGTTGGCCTGTCATAATATTATACACTAGCTTGTTTAAAACTACTGCGTTTCAATTACAGATATAACATCCGCCCCTCCTAAATTTAAGTTACTTGGAAACCTAAATAATAATCTTTGATAACAACATAGTCCACGGAACTTCATAAAGTATAAGTAACTTAACAATGTACACTGACTTGTAAAGTACTAATAACCCTGTGACTTGACAAGTCAGTCATAATGAAAACATTGTTAAAGTAGAAAGTGAAATTTAACTAAACTGAGCTTTTTTTTCGACACATAATAATACTGATAACCTGCTGAAGTATTATAGTCCTGATACAAGTAACTGTAATTCACAGCTAAATCAAATGCCACCTTGACACATAGTTCACTGCAAATGACAGTCACAGTTCACTCAAATGTCACTTTGACACAAAGTCCCTCAGATAAGACGGTTGCTGCTTCACTCTGGTTGAACGACGAAGTATGGGTGCTACAGGCGATGTCACTACCGGCGTTTCCTCCCCCGGTTCAGACATATCTGGTACACTTGAAACATCCCCTTGGATACTTTCCTCATGGGAATCTACCTGTGATGTGTCAGGTAAGTCTGATTCATACTCCTTCCTTCGTGAAGACTGTGATTCTAGCGGAGTGTCTGAACGTTCAATCACGTCCCTTCGGGGTGAAGATAAAGACATCCTGCGTCTGACATGATCCACATGCCTTCTGACCAATCTTCCATCCGTTAACTTGATGATGTACGACAATGGACCAGTTACACTATCAACTTGTCCACTAATCCACTTTGGACCTGAAGCAAAGTTCTTAACCCACACCGAGTCATTCACTTGGAATGCCCTACATTTCGTTAGAGCTGACTGATCCACAAGTTTTCTCTGGTTCTTTTTCACCTTTGAGGTAAGGTATGGAAACATCAAGTCCAATCGCGAACGCAATCTGCGTCCAAGAAACAACATTGAAGGTGATACACCAGTTGTAGACTGTGGTGTAATTCTATAAGAAAATAGTAACCTATGTAGTTGAGTTGCAACTGTGTCACCAGTTGTCTTCTTTAATCCATCTTTTATTATTTGAACCGCCCTTTCTGCTAAGCCATTCCCAGCCGGGTGATGAGGGGATGTTGTCACATGATCAACTCCATTTCTGGACATAAATGTAGCAAATTCTTCCCCAACAAAAGCTGTAGCATTATCAGTTACAATAATTTCTGGTATGCCATAAGCTGCAAACATCCGACGCAGCTGGTTTATGGTAGCCTTTGCATTTGACGACGACATAGGTGCACATTCGATCCATTTGGAGTAGGCGTCAATCACTATAAGAAACATGCTACCCATGAATGGACCAGCATAATCCATATGCAGTCTTTGCCAAGGTTGAGAAGGATACTCCCAAGGGTGTAGGGGAGCTACACTCGGACAATTCCTGTCTTCCTGGCAGGAATCACAACTGTTTACTGTTGTTTCTATGTCAGCATCTAGATGCGGCCACCAAACATAGCTTCGGGCCAAGCCCTTCATCCTGGTGATTCCTGGGTGGGACTGATGCAACTCTGACAATATGACAGATCTGAGTTTCAATGGAATGATGACCCTCGAACCTCTCAATAAGCATCCATCCATCACACTGAGTTCAGAATGAACTCTGTAGTACGGCTCATAGTGGTCATCCAACTTATCACGCTGCGGCCAACCTCGGATCACAAATTCTCGAACAATAGACAATGTTCGGTCCTTGCCAGTCTGGATACTTATGTCTTTAGACTTCAGAGGGCATGTGTCCAATTCCTGAAGCATTAAGACTCATGTCTTCCATAGGCTTCCCTGAGTCAGGCGCTGGCAACCTGCTCAATGCGTCTGCATTGGTATGCTGTGTACCTTTCCTGTGTACAATTTTATAGTCATATGCAGTCAACAACACTGACCATCTCTGAACTCTTGGAGACACCATCTGTGGCACTGGATTATTCTCATTGAATAATGACACCAACGGCTTGTGATCTGTCACGATCTGGAAATGACGTCCATAAACATACTTATGAAACTTTCGCAGTCCAAAGATCACACTCAGTCCTTCACGATCAAGTTGAGAATAATTCTGCTCTGCCTTAGTCAGTGTCCTTGAAGCAAAACTTATAGGTCTCTCCGAACCATCAGGCAGTTGGTGAGCCAACACAACACCTACTCCGTAGGGGGATGCATCACACTGCAGTAAAAGTGGTTTGGAGCTGTCAAAATGAATCAAGACATCCGAAGACTGAAGCAAGTTCTTCGACTTCTCAAACGCTTTTTGTTGAGATGTACTCCATGACCATTTCACTTCTTTTTGTAGCAACTTGTACAAGGGGGAGAGAGTGTCAGGCAGATTTGGTAGAAACCTATGGTAGTAGTTCAGAATACCAAGATAAGCTCTCAATTCTTTCACATTTTCAGGGACCTTAGCTTCCTGAATTGCAGCAATCTTTTTCTCCACTGGATGCAAACCTTCACTGTCAAGTCTATAACCAAGATATTCAACTTCATCAGCCATAAAGACACACTTGTTTCTTCTCAAACGTAATCCTGCTTCTGACAATCGATGAAGTATTTCATCCAGAATACGAAGATGCTCACTGTCGTTGATTCCAGATGTGTGACAGTATGCAAACACAGAGATGCGTGTCAGTTTGCACAGAGAGATGTGTGACAGTATGGACAGAGAGATGTGGGTCAGTTTGCACAGAGAGATGTGTGACAGTATGCACAGAGAGATGTGTGAAAGTATGCACACAGAGAGATGTGGGTCAGTATGCACAGAGAGATGTGTGACAGTATGCACAGAGAGATGTGTGAAAGTATGCACACAGAGAGATGTGGGTCAGAATGCACAGAGAGATGTGTGACAGTATGCACAGAGAGATGTGTGTCAGTATGCAAAGTAAGATGTGTGTCACTATGCACAGAGAGATTTATGACAGTATGCACAGAGAGATATGTGTCAGTGTGCTCAGAGAGATGTGTCAGTGTGCTCAGAGAGATGTGTCGGTGTGCTCAGAGAGATGTGTGTCAGTATGCCCACAGAGAGACATGTGTCAGTGTGCTCAAAGAGATATGTGTCAGTGTGCACAGAGAGATGTGTGTCAGTGTGCACAGAGAGATGTGTGTCAGTGTGCACAGAGTGATGTGTGTCAGTATGCCCACAGAGAGATATGTGTCAGTGTGCACAGAGAGATGTGTCGGTGTGCTCAGAGAGATGTGTGTCAGTGTGCCCAGAGAGATGTTTGTCAGTGTGCACACAGAGAGATGTGTCGGTGTGCTCAGAGAGATGTGTGTCAGTATGCCCACAGAGAGATATGTGTCAGTGTGCTCAGAGAGATATGTGTCAGTGTGCACAGAGAGATGTGTGTCAGTGTGCTCAGAGAGATATGTGTCAGTGTGCACAGAGTGATGTGTGTCAGTGTGCTCAGAGAGATATGTGTCAGTGTGCTCAGAGAGATGTGTGTCAGTGTGCTCAGAGAGACGTGTGTCAGTATGCACACAGAGAGACGTGTGTCAGTATGCACACAGAGTGATGTGTGTCAGTGTGCACAGAGAGATATGTGTCAGTGTGCACAGAGAGATGTGTGTCAGTATGCACAGAGAGATGTTTGTCAGTATGCACAAAGAGAGATGTGTGTCAGTATGCACAGAGAGATGTGTGTCAGTGTGCTCAGAGAGATGTGTGTCAGTGTGCACAGAGAAATGTGTGTCAGTATGCTCAGAGAGATGTGTGTCAGTGTGCACAGAGAGATGTGCGCAGTGTGCTCAGAGAGAACTGTGACAGTATGCACACACAGAGATGTGTGTCAGAGTTCACAACATCCTCGTCCTTAGGGAGATTAGACATACCATTACAAAACTAGACACATGATCGGGTACGCCACTGTTGGATATATACACACATGCCTGGTATATACACACACATCCCGATGTATACCCACATCCCGGTACGCGCGCGCACACACACACACACACACACACACACACACACACACACTCACACTCACACACACACACACACACACACACACACACACACACACACACACACACACACACACACACATTCAGTGAATACCAAGGCCAGACGGATCAAACAGATTTCAATGTGGTGTTCGTTACATGTGGATTCGGTTTCAGTAAGGCTTATTAGGAAGCAAATATTTCCATTTCATCGTTAAAACGTCGTGTTTTCTCACTTCCTTATACCGTGTTACCACAAGTCTGGGCTACACAACAGCTGCTAAATACTGTTACTGGGGAGGTACCTAAAACGTGGTACAGTCTTTGAAACAGCCCTAGTTCACATGGTGTATGACTAACCCACATCGTGTGTTGTCGGCGGAATTGCTCACGTTGAGTCCTGTGTCTGACTTCCCTAGGAAGTAGAATAGTGAGTAAGGGACGACATGGTCACACCAGTCATCTAATACAGACAGTAACGGTTCATATATCACCTCTTGCCATGGCAGTTTGGACACATCTTACGTTTTTGAGTTTTAGTGAGTATTTATTTCTCTATCATAATATCACTGATTGTTAACTCATGGTTTATTGACCAGTAAGTGGTTCGCTGTGTCTTTACGAGTGAAACACGGTGGTGTTCATTATTGTATTTGGAAACCTTTGACATCACTGAGTGTTTTATTTTTGTGTTACGCTGTGAATTACTTTAGTCGTCTTGTCGTTGTCCAGTAGAGCCGAAACGTCGGTAAAGCGTGTCCTGACTATATTACTATTATCAGTTGCTGGACGATAACTTCTCTAACTTCTGTTGGTTCAGGACTAGATTTGATTTCGAAGAAACCCACAAATCAAAATCCTTACCGACTGTCGAGCTTCCACAGCTATAAACATTGTTGGAAGGCCAGGGGTGACAAGCAAGTTAAACTTCGTGATTTCCACATAATAGCTTGGACAAATGTCTAAATCTAATGTGACGCTAATTCAAATTATAGTAATATCTTATGTAAATCCACCAATGTTATTAGGGTAAGAAACCTATTAAAATGACTGAGACTGGTTTTAGCTTATTCATTATTCTTGTTTTTGAAACAGTACTTCAAATTCGACTCCGTAAGTCAGTGTTGTCATAGTTCACGTTACCACTGTTACAATAGGCCTCATCATCACGAGCAAAACATGGAGCAAAAGGGGTTTGTGTATAAACAATTTCTCAAATGTGATGTGCTTAGTTCTAAATCCAGCCGACTTGGTCGAGTTAGGTCGAGTAAGGAGATTTTTGCAAAACCTATGCGAGATTATATTTTAATCATAATATTAATCAAAATATTGCAGATGTATTTAGAGCAACTCAGATGTGTCCGTGATAACCAGCAGACGCATAAAAGAGTAACATAGGACATGCAGAGGTGGAAAATATATTTAGATAGATGTGAGGTGAGGCGAAATGGGTTTAACGTCGCGTCAACGAGTATTGCACTTATAGTGATTGAATGAGTGAGTGAGTTGGGTTTAACCCCGCTTTAAACAGTATTACAGTTATATCTCGGCGTGTCAGCTTGATAGCTGTCGGAAAACGCGAAGTGATGCAGGTCTCAGACGTTTACCACTTCAGTGTAACCCACGAGCACGGGTATGGTGCTGACAAACCTAGAAACGTAATCGGGGCCAACCGGGATTCGAAACCCACAACCATAGGTTCCTGGCGTGCCCAAGGCACGCAACTCAGTACAGCGAATGGCGGCGCCTTAGACGACTGTGTCCACCCGTGTCCCCGCACTTATATAGAGACGTGCATACACGCGTATGTTTGTGTGTGTGTGCGTGACTGCCTGTACTAGTCCGGACTAATGCCTATTTTATAGTGCTAGCCCGGCCAGCCAGGGTTTGACGTCTTTTGGCATGACATGGCCGGGGATCGAACCCCGGACCTTCCGCTATCCGGGCGGACGCTCTACCACTAGACCACGGAGGCGGTCTATTTACATGGAGGTTTGAGGTTTCATATTACAACACGAAACAATCAATTGTTCTTCCTCGAACATTAATTTCGATTCAAGGAGGAAACAAATTGTGAAACTTGGGATTTGAATTTGGCCGATTATTTAAATGTAGGGAATAAAACTAAACCGACATGTACATTTTAATCTACAGTGTCATGTAGAGTCATGTAGAGAGTCATTTAGTGTGTTACGAAGAGTATCATGTATAGCGTCATCTACAGTGTCATGTATAGTGTCATCTACAGTGTTATGTAGTGTCATGTATAGTGTCATGTAGTGTCATCTACAGTGTTATGTAGTGTGATCTACAGTGACATGTAGTGTCATGAATTTTGTCATGCATAAGTGTCATTTAGAGTGTTACGTATGGTGTCATGTATAGCGTCACCTACAGTGTCATGTATAGTGTCATCTACAGTGTTATGTAGTGTCATGTATAGTGTCTTGTAGTGTCATCTACAGTGACATGTAGTGTCATGAATTTTGTCATGTATAGTGTCATTAAGAGTGTTACGTAGAGTGGCATGTATAGCGTCATCTACAGTGTCATGTATAGTTTCATCTACAGTGTTATGTAGTGTCATTTATAGTGTCATGTAGTGTCATCTACAGTGACATGTAGTGTAATGAATTTTGTCATGTATAGTGTCATTTAAAGTGTTACGTATGGTGTCATGTATAGCGTCACCTACAGTGTCATGTATAGTGTCATCTACAGTGTTATGTAGTGTCATTTATAGTGTCATGTAGTGTCATCTACAGTGACATGTAGTGTCATGAGTTTTGTCATGTAGAGAGTCATTTAGTGTGTTACGTATGATGTCATGTATAGCGTCACCTACAGTGTCGTGTATAGTGTCATCTACAGTGTTATGTAGTGTCATGTATAGTGTCATGTAGTCTCATGAATTTTGTCATGTAGAGAGTCATTTAGAGTGTTACGTATGATGTCATGTATAGCGTCACCTACAGTGTCGTGTATAGTGTCATCTACAGTGTTATGCAGTGTCATGTATAGTGTCATGTAGAGTCATCTACAGTGACATGTAGTCTCATGAATTTTGTCATGTAGAGAGTCATTTAGTGTGTTACGTATGGTGACATGTATAGCGTCATCTACAGTGTCACGTATAGCGTCATCTACAGTGTTATGTAGTGTCATGTATAGTGTCATGTAGTGCGATCTACAGTGACATGTAGTGTCATGAATTTTGTCATGCATAAGTTTCATTTAAAGTGTTATGTATGGTGTCATGTATAGCGTCACCTACACTGTCATGTATAGCGTCATTAATCTTATCATGTATAGTGTCATGTAGTGTCATTAATAGTGTCATGTAGTGTCATTTAAAGTGTTACGTATGGTGCCATGTATAGCGTCACCTACACTGTCATGTATAGTGTCATTAATCTTATCATGTATAGTGTCATGTAGTGTCATTAATAGTGTCATGTAGTGTCATTTAAAGTGTTACGTATGGTGCCATGTATAGCGTCACCTACACTGTCATGTATAGTGTCATTAATCTTATCATGTATAGTGTCATGTAGCGTCATTAATAGTGTCATGTAGATTCATTTATGCATATGGTGTCATGTTTGTTTGTTGTTTAACGCCGCACTAAGCAATATTCAACATAGTGTCATGTACAATGTCATATAGTCATGTATAGTGTCATGTAGCGTCATGTAGTGTCATGTAGATTTCATGTATTGTGTCATGTAGTGTAAATGTAATGTCATATATAGTGTCATGTATAGTGTCATGTAGTGTTTCATGTTGTGTCATGTAGTATCATGTATAGTGTCATGTATAGTGTCATGTATACTTAAGATGTTTTATCACCCCTGTTGATTTCAGTGTGCACAGTTACTCCTGTCATATCACAGTTCAACAGTGGTTGCACGCAGTTAGATAAGTGTGGAGTGGACGTCTCTCCCAGCTTCAGCAGTTCCGATGGCGTCTTCATCTGCCGGTAAAGTTGGACATACAACCTACAAGGCCGTCCGTATCTTTGGCGAAACCGCATTATCAGTGGTTCATAACAAGCTCCTCACAGCGATAGTACGTTCCCGGAGCTCTCTATACTATCGCTGCCACCAGTCAAAACTCCCCACTGTGAATAGGTGGCCACAACCATGCTTGGAGTTGAACTCGCAACCGAATGACCGTTATGTTTACAAACAAGTGACGACTGTCATGACGCCAAATACACTTACCCCTGCTAAATTACTTTCTTTGTATGTCAATTTGAATTTCTAATTCATTAAATCTATCATGTCATTGATATGGTAAGAATGTAAGGGAGAAGTTGGTTGATTTCCCGTTAGTCGGCAATCTCGAACCAATCTGATTATCAAAACAACAAAGTAAATTCATCTGGAAAACATGGTCAATCGTAAACCTTTTCAAATTAAAATATGATGGCATTCCCACAGACATAAACACATGTATAAACGTTACTACATATGGGCTTGGAGGGCAAATTTCAAGATTCTTGTAATGGCCGCGCCCACACTGGTGGCAGCGATGTTACCGAGAGTGTAACGAAGGTGTCACGCGCTGGGAAGGAGCTTGGGTTCATAAGGGGAAAGGGAGGTCACTCTAATTTCAAACGGGAGCTATCTCCGTTGTTTTCGTATTTGCGAGTAATGGCGTCACCCACGCTGTACGTTGTTGGTCCAGCTATTAAATGCCCAGCTTATCCCTAAGGTAAAACGTATACTTAATTAAATGTTTGAATGCATTATATATTTATGTTTCCATCCGTACATCTTCTAAGATTGGTTTAGTGCTGATAACCATTTTCTAAAATGTGGGCCCACATCTTTCCCGTCATCTATGGTGTTCGAAACAAGTGGGCCCACATTTGTATTTCGCCTAGCTTCGTTAGGTTGTTTCGTTAGTTCTGATAATCAATTCCTAAATGTGGGCAGACGTTCTTCCGTCATATTGATTGCAACAGGAGGGACCACATTTATTAATCGCGAAATTCTACTTAAATATTGATAATCATTTTCTCAAATGTTGGCCCACATTGTTCCCATCATATATGGTGATCGAAACAAGTGGGCCCACGTTTGTATATCGGCTTGTGATAGACCTAGACCTTCTTCCGTCATAGTGATTGCAACAGGAGGGACCACATTCAAAAATCGCTAAGCTTCATTAGCTTGGCTTACTTATGACCATTTTCTAAAATGTGGGCCCATATTGTTCCCGTCGTATAGTGATCGAAACAGGTGGGCCCACATTTGTAAATCGCTGGGTTTCATTGGGTTGACGAAGTCATTTAGGCTAGTGGGCTCACATTTGCCATTACTTTGCATGGGTATGTGACATTATATATTATTCATATTTTGTAATATTGATGGGAAATATCTTTATAAATCATTTCGTGTGACGTTAATTCCACGAAAGGTACAAATATCTTTGAAGTTTGAATAACGTCATCATAGCTGACCACACTAGTTTTACAAAAATAGCTACAAAGCAAGAAACTTAGATCTACTTCAAATTAAATTTACAGAGGCAATACCACTCATTCTACCTTTTCCAGTATAACACATCAATCTAATCATAAGTGTTGGTGGCGATCGATATAAGCCTAAAAATATGTCTACACTTGAATTGACCTCGGACATGATACAAGCCTCAAACTTTTCCGAGAACTTGTTCCATAAAAGGAATAACTCATGAATATTAATAACCCCACGACCTAGTTTGGCGATTTTCGTAGAAGTGAGTTCTGCTGTATTGCCATCGCATTTGTACATTTTAATCCAATTATAAGTCACATTTTAAATAGACAAAATAGCAGTTCGTAATGCGGGTTTGTTTACCAAGTACATATTCTCAACAACAAGTGCGTTTAGTTTCGAATGTGGGCCCACCTCGAACTTTCGATTAGGCAAACGGAGTTAGCTCCCTTCTCGAACCACCGATAATGCGGTTTCGCCGTATCTTTTCTGTGTTTCCCATCTCCCGGCCGCCCTGAATCTTCCTTCCGACATGAAATAATAAAAAAAGTTTCCGTATCTCAATTTTCAACGCCGCTGTGGACTTTTTCCCTTATCTGATAAAAAAAATACACTACAATCATTGCACACTCATTAAAAACCCAGGTCAGCTTGATTTTTCTTCAGCTATGTTTATTAAAAATTCGTTTCCGAAGCAAAGTGACTCGATCTACGTCATAAATTTCTTTAAAGACAGGTACCAAATGTTTTAAACTTTAAAATGTCGTAAAATAAGCTACACAATTAGTGAAAAACAGTTTTTATAGTTTTCTTGGTTTTGAAAAAATATTTTGTTTCGCCCGTTCTCCCGTTGGCTGATGTTGGAGATGAGAAACACATCAAAATATGGATGGTCCTACATCTTTTGATAAAACCTACAAATTCATTTTTAGTTTGCATGATTGATTTAGGTATAACGCCCCTTTGAACAGTGTTTCTGTTATAACACGATGTGTTAGCGAGGTGTTGGATTTAGTGTGCACACCAGTACTGTGTTAATAGGTCTGCTTCAGGGTTAGTTTTCTCCACTCAAGCCGATGTTAGTGTGGTAGAAGATGACCATGAAACGTTGCAGTGGAGTGTGCAGCGGTGTCTTCACTGTCCGGCATACTGTTTGCGGTGGATGTGAGGATATTGCTGAAATGATTAATCTGGCTGGTGCAACCTATGTGTGTGAATCAGTCATGACATTGTTGGTGGTCCAGCCAGCTGTTCACAAACTGAAGTGATTAATCTGGCTGGTGCAACCTATGTATGTGAATCAGTCATGACATTGTTGGTGGTCCAGCCAGCTGTTCACAAACTGAAGTGATTAATCTGGCTGGTGCAACCTATGTATGTGAATCAGTCATGACATTGTTGGTGGTCCAGCCAGCTGTTCACAAACTGAAGTGATTAATCTGGCTGGTGCAACCTATGTTTGCGAATCAGTCATGACATTGTTGGTGGTCCAGCCAGCTGTTCACAAACTGAAGTGATTAATCTGGCTGGTGCAACCTATGTATGTGAATCAGTCATGACATTGTTGGTGGTCCAGCCAGCTGTTCACAAACTGAAGTGATTAATCTGGCTGGTGCAACCTATGTATGTGAATCAGTCATGACATTGTTGGTGGTCCAGCCAGCTGTTCACAAACTGAAGTGATTAATCTGGCTGGTGCAACCTATGTATGCGAATCAGTCATGACATTGTTGCTGGTCCAGCCAGCTGTTCACAAACTGAAGTGATTAATCTGGCTGGTGCAACCTATGTATGTGAATCAGCCATGACATTGTTGGTGGTCCAGCCAGCTGTTCACAAACTGAAGTGATTAATCTGGCTGGTGCAACCTATGTATGTGACACATGACATTGTTGGTGGTCCAGCCAGCTGTTCACAAACTGAAGTCAATTCTTAATTAAGCAGTGTTAATCACTCCCCAACTCTAGGTCAGTGGTCAGCTACAGAACCTGTGCCCAGAATGCCAAACGTGTGTGCGTCGGAAACATCGACAATTCCGAAGTAGAACAGTTTGTGTTGAATATATATACACAATATAACTGCACAGGTATGTATCCAGTCTGTCACTTTCATCATGTGCCCTGTTCATGACCCCGAGTAAACATCCACAAGGCTGTGATTGATAAGATATGTTTTGTTTGTTGTTTAACGCCGCACTCAGCAATATTTCAGCTATCTGATGACGGCCTACATATAATCTGTATAAACAATCTTGTGATTGATATTATGAGCATTGAACAACGACCCACGCCGTCGAGGTACGATGACCCGTTATCCGAGGATGAGCGCCTGATTTGATAATACATAAGTCGTCTGTAACGACAAGCATAGGTTAGTGGAACCATTCCTAGCCTGGAATCCCCTTGGGCTTGTGTTACTAGCATGACATGGCAGACAATAACTTCATCATATATATGTTTCAGCTGTTCTTAAGGAAATAACGACATCCGTCGAAATGTCTCCCGTTACCGCTCGTATTTCAGAATCAGGTATGCTTCCTTTGTCTTTCATTACGTTCAGGTGTTTAAAACAATAACTACGTTGGTCTTCATTACATATTGGAATGCTCGGACCATGTGTCTCCCTGGTGTTATTGCTGCATGTCGGGCAGTGTATTAGCCCCGTGGACGTACACTTGACAATCATTGCTCGCCGTCATTTGACCTACCCACCTACCCACCTACCCACCTACCCAGCACAGTGTTTGGCGCATGAAGCTTGTAAGAGGATGCAGAACAACCCGTTATTGGTCCAACGCAGTTATCACCATTCTTGACTGTCCTTGAAAGAATGTGTTTGTGCATTAGCATGCTTCCCGCGTGTACCCTCCCCCTGGCTGTGCTTATGTGGTGGACGCCATGTTAAATGAGAACAGTGTCCATGTGCCGCTTTCTGTTATAGCGCCTACACGCGGGATCCCAGAAACTGACGGAACCAGTCAACTCGAAAGTTCCCCCTCGGCAACAGCTGCCACCCCTTACATACAAAGCACAAATCGTACTGAAATGACAGATACCGAGAGCACAGACGTCACGTCCACTCGTTCGAAGGGTACAAGTGTTCCCACGATGTCGTCTGCACGCATCAATCGTACTGAAATGACAGATACCCAGACCACAGACGTCCTGTCCACGCGCTCGAAGGGTACAAGTGTTCCCACGATGTCGTCTGCACGCATCAATCGTACTGAAATGACGGATACTCAGACCACAGACGTCACGTCCACGCGCTCGAAGGGTACAAGTGTTCCCACGATGTCGTCTGCACGCAACAATCGTACCGAAATGACAGACACCCAGACCACAGACGTCACGTCCACGCGCTCGAAGGGTACAAGTGGTCCCACGATGTCGTCTGCACGCATCAGTCGTACTGTATTGACAGATACCCAGACAACAGATGTCACGTCCACGCGCTCGAAGGGTACAAGTGGTCCCACGATGTCGTCTGCACGCATCAATCGTACTGAAATGACAGATTCCCAGACCACAGATGTCACTTCCCTGCGCTCGAAGGGTACAAGTGTTCCGCCAGTGTCCTCAACAGACAGACAGACCCTCGTCCCATCCTCAACCTCATCCCGCCGGGAGACCGTTACTGAGGCCACGACGAACGCAAACCACGTGACTTGGTCCACCACGAAGTACATGTCCACAGTTGTCAGACGACATCCTTCAAGCACACCGCAGGTCACTGAGCTACCAATATCCTCCACAGACGACGTCACAGTACCCACATCAAAACTTACGTCTCAAATTACCAGTACAAAATACAAGAGTCTAGTAACAAACACGAGAACCTCCCGAGTTACCTCCCCTTCCATTCTTCCAGGACTGTCCACAAAAGGTTCGCCAGGTTTTCATCAATCCAGGAAGACCTCCACCCAATCAACAGATCACACCGGATATGGAACGAGATCTTCCACTGAAATGAAGAAGTCGAGTTCGCAAATACCAGGGACGTTCCCCACCACCCCTCCAGCTGAGGAAGAGGACTCGACCAGGGATGCATCTAACCCCCAAGGTGGAGAACACGTAACGCCTTCTGGGCTTGTTTCATTGTTACATATATGTGACAGTCAATGTCTTTAATCAGTATACCGACTGAAAATGTCAGTCATTATGTATATTGACTTTTTCACTCAGGCAGTTTTACATATTTCCTGAAAAATAAGACTGGATTTTAGACTTTATACCATGTTGTTAGACATACATTGTCGAAAAAACACAAGGTGCTCAATAAATATCCAGGCGTATATAACATCTGTGTATATGGTAATGTGACCCTTTCTTTAATTGCGGGCGATGATTGCCCAATGGTCTACATCCCCCATCACCTTGTTGCGTTGAATCAGCCTATACCCTTCCTATTCGTTCTCTGCCAAGGACTGACAACACGCAACAGTGGTGCATCTAGATGAAAGGGATAGTGAATAGTGTTGACATAAATTTTCAAATCTCTTTCAGGTGTGGGAACCCCATCTTCAGGCACTGACAGTAAGCAGCGGATATCTTCTAAATATAATCATCATTGGTTGCGCATGCAAATACAGTTCTACAATCCAGTGTCTGGTGGCTACTTCACGTGTAGGACTAGGCACTGTGTCCTGTGTGAAGATGCCATTTCAATCAGACTAACCAGGTACTAACCAGGTGCTTACCTGATACTAACCAGGCACTAACCAGATACTGAACAGGTTCTAACCAGATACTGACCAGATGCTAACCAGGTGCTAACCAGGTACTATTCGGGTACTAACCAGGTGCTAACCAACTACTAACCAGGTGCTAACCAGCTCCTAACCAGGCACTAACCAGATACTGACCAGGTACTAACCAGGTGCCTACCAAGTGCTAACCAGGTACTGTCGAGGTACTATCGAGGTAATAACCAGGTGCTAACAAGGTGCTAACTAGATACTAACCAGGTACTAACCAGGTACTATCTAGGTACTAACCAGGTGCTAACCAGGTACTATCCAGGTACTAACCAGGTACTAACCAGGTACTAACAAGGTGCTAACCAGATGCTGACCAGGTACTATCGAGGAACTAACCAGGTACTATCCAGGTACTATCCAGGTACTAACCAGGTACTAACCAGGTACTTACAAGGTGCTAACCAGATGCTGACCAGGTACTATCGAGGTACTAACCAGGTACTAACCAGGTGCTAGCCAGGTGCTAACCAGGTACTAACCAGGTGCTAACCAGGTTCTAACAGATGCTAAATAGGTACTAACCAGGACTGGCCAAGTATTAACCATGTACTAACCAGGTACTAATCAGGCGTTATCTAGGTACTAACTAGGTACTATCGAGGTAATAACCAGGTGCTAAACAGGTGCTAACTAGGTACTAACCAGGTGCTAACCAGGTTCTAACAGATGCTAACTAGGTACTAACCAGGTACTAACCAGGTACTAACCAGGTACTAGCTTGATGCTAATCAGGTACTATCCAGGTGGTGGTCAAATGGTAACCAGGTGCAAAGCAGTTACTAACCAGTTACTATCGAGGTGCTTAGCAGGTGCTAACCAGGTTTTAACAAATGCCAACTAGGTACTAACCAGGGGCTACCCAGGTACAACCAGGTACTAACCAGGGTTCCTTTGCACAAAGGGATCTTAACGCTACCATATTGCAAATTCAGTACCTTAACATAGATTTATGATAGTCGCTTTGTGCAATCGGACCTTTAGAAATAGAGCAGACCCTACATTGTGGCCAGTTCCCCGTTCTTGTAGTTACCAGTATCAATACTGATGTTGCTTTGTGTGGAGAGGTAGGTGTAGTGCCAGGTGTGGACAATGAGGGACTGTAGACGTGAACCTTGAGCCACCTTTCGATACAACACTTCCGACAAATTCATGGACCGTTTTCAGAAAAGGGTGAATCACTGCTCTCTTGTGTTGCCCCTTGAAGTAAATTTTGATGTTATAGTCCGAGTTGGGGATCTAATCAGAAAGCAAATTTGATTCCGTTGAATGATGGCCCTTGTAAGGGATATAGTACGTGATCATATCATGTGTGTATTAAAGAATGTTGCATGTCCTCCCCAGGTTCCATGGCTGTGTCTACTCTGTCCGCTGTGGCGGTCATCTGGGTCGGCTGGACGATGCACGTCACCATCACCTGAAACTACGGGGCCTGCACAGGATGTTACATGTCGGTTACATTACAGTTTCCGCGGACTAATATACAGTATCCTGACTTTGTGTAGAAGCCTCTCCGACATGTCAACACTGGCGCCTGGGATATGCTCCAGCAGGGCCAGACAGCACGGAGATGCTCCTACTCAAGAGGTCTTTTAAATGTCGTATACGACCGAATAATTGGGTGTCGGTTACATTACAGTTTCCGTGGACTTATATACAGTATCCTGACTTTGTGTAGGAGCCTCTCCGACATGTCAACACTAGCGCCTGGGATATGCTCCAGCAGGGCCAGACAGCACGGAGATGCTCCTACTCAAGAGGTCTTTTAAATGTCGTATACGACCGAATAATTGGGTGTCGGTTACATTACAGTTTCCGCGGACTAATATACAGTATCCTGACTTTGGGTAGGAGCCTCTCCGACATGTCAACACTAGCGCCTGGGATATGCTCCAGCAGGTCCAGACAGCACGGAGATGCTCCTACTCAAGAGGTCTTTGAAATGTCGTATACGACCGAATAATTGGGTGTCGGTTACATTACAGTTTCCGTGGACTTATATACAGTATCCTGACTTTGGGTAGGAGCCTCTCCGACATGTCAACACTAGCGCCTGGGATATGCTCCAGCAGGGCCAGACAGCACGGAGATGCTCCTACTCAAGAGGTCTTTTAAATGTCGTATACGACCGAATAATTGGGTGTCGGTTACATTACAGTTTCCGCGGACTAATATACAGTATCCTGACTTTGGGTAGGAGCCTCTCCGACATGTCAACACTAGCGCCTGGGATATGCTCCAGCAGGTCCAGACAGCACGGAGATGCTCCTACTCAAGAGGTCTTTGAAATGTCGTATACGACCGAATAATTGGGTGTCGGTTACATTACAGTTTCCGCGGACTAATATACAGTATCCTGAATTTGTGTAGAAGCCTCTCCGACATGTCAACACTAGCGCCTGGGATATGCTCCAGCAGGTCCAGACAGCACGGAGATGCTCCTACTCAAGAGGTCTTTGAAATGTCGTATACGACCGAATAATTGGGTGTAATTGGCCGTCCTTTTTGACAGGTCAAATATTCGTCGCGCTCTTTCAACCGTAGTACGTTTTTTTGGTTATTATTGTTTTTGTTTTGTTTTTGTCACCTTGTATAATCACAATTTGATAGTGATTCATTGATGCATGTTCATTATATAGTCAGTATTGTACAATCGACTATGCTTTCAGCAGATTTCCCATGAAAATGGAAATGGTTTTGTCGCTGTATTATATATGTATTACTGCCTCATGTACCTTGAGCAACGAATGCTACCAAATATATAACCCGGTATCAAAGACCACATGGTCAAGTCCCTACCCCACCCGGTATCAAATACCACATGGTCAAGTCCCTACCCCACCCGGTATCAAATACCACATGGTCAAGTCCCTACCCCGCCCATTATCAAATACCACATGGTCAAGTCCCTACCCCACCCGGTATCAAAGACCACATGGTCAAGTCCCTACCCCGCCCGGTATCAAAGACCACATGGCCAAGTCCCTACCCCGCCCATTATCAAATACCACATGGTCAAGTCCCTACCCCACCCGGTATCAAAGACCACATGGTCAAGTCCCTACCCCACCCGGTATCAAATACCACATGGTCAAGTCCCTACCCCACCCGGTATCAAAGACCACATGGTCAAGTCCCTACCCCACCCGGTATCAAAGACCACATGGTCAAGTCCCTACCCCACCCGGTATCAAAGACCACATGGTCAAGTCCCTACCCCACCCGGTATCAAAGACCACATGGTCAAGTCCCTACCCCACCCGGTATCAAAGACCACATGGTCAAGTCCCTACCCCACCCGGTATCAAAGACCACATGGTCAAGGGTACAAGAAAGAAGACAAAGCTTTTGCACATGGACAGGTGGGACAAATGCTGTAGTAGATCAATGATGTATGTATGTATATATGTATGTATGTATGTATGTATGTATGTATGTATGTATGTATGTATGTATGTATGTATGTATGTATGTATGTATGTATGTAGGTAGGTAGGTAGGTAGGTAGGTAGGTAGGAAGGTATGTATGTATGTAGGTATGTATGTAGGTAGGTAGGTATGATGCAGATTTGTTTGTTCAAATATATAGCAATGTCTTGTATTTGCTCAACATTTTTTCTTGCTAATAGTCGACTAAATTTTATTTGTGATAGATACATGTAATAGTAGCTAGTGATGTACAGTCTTCTGTTTTCCAAATAAAATGATTAAATTTAAAGTAAATGGATATGTATTATGATTAGATTTATTGCACTTAAGTAAATAAATATTGACGTTTCATTATAAAGAAACTATTGATTACGCAGCGTCTTTCTTTTTCCTGATACAGCGGGTTGCTGTATGGCTGTAAGTGTAAAAATGACGTCACACGTACTAAAAGAAATTGTGTATACACTCTTCAAGGCATAAACTACTGAAATATTTTTTCTCAGAAGGGACATTTAAGAGCTCTAGTATAATGGGCATGTATATGCGTACGCTATCCCCTTCACACAGTAGATTACAGATTCCCTTACACAATGATATATTGTTGTATCCCTGTATCTTTGACGAACACTATTGCAGCATGACGCATAGTCCATTTATTGCATGATTCCTACAAAATAACATTGCTAAAAGATGATCAAATAATAGGATGTAAGTAAAAAAACAATTTCAAAAACTTATCTTACGGACGTTTATTTTACGACCGTCTCATAATCAGTTCCGTCAGGAGGTGGGCGACAATAGAGGTTGATTCAATTTTGGTGAAATATGGGGGTCGTTTCATCACAAAACCAAGTTATCAAACAACAGAAACTGTTCATGTTACAATGAAATTGTGAGTCACACACAGTTCCCTGAAATTTAAGCAGCTTCCGGATACTGTGACTGGGCCTGACCCGGAGCTAACCGCTGTGATAATAACACGGAAATGAATGTCCTGACTCTGACAGACTGACTTTCAGTTTACAATACATAAACATACATGCTGTGCATAGATGGTCACATAAAATCCAAGGATGATGTGTGTAAACTGCATTTCACTCATCTGGAACTATAACACGTAAACGATTAGCTCCCCATGAAAGTGTATAGCACAGTATAACAGTTGTCACAAGCTGCGTCAAACCGTCTGCGTCAGCTTGACACAGTCACCGGTTTAACGAGTGACATGTGACTTGTGACTGGTGTAAATCTAGCCCACGGGGTCTTGAAAGTTGCGGCATCACAGAAGATTGTCCTCCATTTCATACATAATACTGAATAGCACTAAGAGGGGGACCGGGGACCATTTAAGTTCTAGGGAGGGGATGGTGGTGGTGGTGGTGGTGGTGTGTGTGTGTGTGTGTGTGTGTGTGTGTGTGTGTGTGTGAAGCCAGTATCATTCAGCCCAGTTCATCTGAATGGCACTCTCCCGTTGTCATGGTTAAGAAACAAGACAGCGCCTTGATGCAGTTACCAAGCCTATATTTTCCCCTCTGCCACGTTTGAAAATGTCCATTATACCACATAGAAACTACAGCTATGCCAACGTTTTAAGAGTGATAGTGGCTTTTGGCAAATATCACTCCATCCAGATAAAACACAAGTCGGTCTTCATTACACCCGATGGTGTTTTTAATCGCACCCCTTTCGGCCTCAAAAATGCTCCTGTGGCATTTAAGCAAACCGTTTCAGGCACTAAAAGAAATGAATTGGCGTTACATATTAATAAATGTAGATGACATCATAACATTTTCTAAAACGTTTTCAGAACACTGGAATCATTTCAAGGCAGTATTCCAAAAGATCAAAGAAGCAGAACTTTAAAACCGAGCAAATGTAAATTCGCGACAAAACAAGTCAAAACTACTTAGGGCATATCTTCAGCAAAGATGACATCCATGCCGATCCTTCAAAAATAGATTCAGTCACACTGATCCAAACCCCCTAACAATGTCCATGGCATGCGTCATTTCTTAGATTTTGCCTCGTATTATCGCAAATTTGTAGCACACTTTCCTGGCAACGCCTCCCCGCTATATAACCTTCTGAAAAAACCCACGTCTTTCGAATGGTCCAACAATTGCCAACAGGCATTTGAAAAGCTAAAGCAAGCCCTTATATAACAGCCCCCATCCTTGCATATCCCGACCAAAACAAACCTTTCATCCTCACAACTCATGCAACTCATACTGCTATACATTTTAGGCAAACTTAATTCTCATGGCATAACGTGACGTTAATGATGTTCTTAATGCATGTTCTTAATGACCATACAAGTATCTTCCTTTACAGTTCTGTTTTTAGGAACTACCAGTGTGGGTTGTTTACGTTTCTTTTGCGCGTCAGTTTAGGTTATTGCGATAAACCATTTTTTATTTGTATGTATGTTCATGTTGTATTTTTTTCAAGTAAGGGTAAATTATGCTTAATGGTCATTTCATATCACAGCCAACATCTGTTTCAGCTGTGTCGCTCCAGCAGCTTATATTCATCCCCGCTTTAGCTCTAGCAGCCTATATTCATCCCCGCTTAGGCTCCAGCAGCCTATAGTCACCCCCTCTTTGGCTCCAGCAGCCTATATTCACCCCTCTTTGGCTCCAGCAGCCTTTGTTCACCCCCTCTTTGGCTCTAGCAGCCTATATTAACCCCTTTTGGCTCTAGCAGCCTATATTCACCCATTTTGGCTCCAGCAGCCTATATTCACCCCTCTTTGGCTCTAGCAGCCTATATTAACCCCTTTTGGCCCTAGCAGCCTATATTCCCCCCCTCTTTGGCTCTAGCAGCCTATATTCACCCCTTTTGGCTCTAGCAGCCTATATTCACCCCCTCTTTGGCTCCAGCAGCCTTTATTCACCCCTTTTGGCTCTAGCAGCCTATATTCACCCCCTCTTTGGCTCCAGCAGCCTATATTCACCCCTTTTGGCTCCAGCAGCCTATATCCACCCCCTCTTTGGCTCTAGCAGCCTATATTCACCCCTTTTGGCTCTAGCAGCCTATATTAACCCCTTTTGGCTCTAGCAGCCTATATTCACCCATTTTGGCTCTAGCAGCCTATATTCACCCCTTTTGGCTCTAGCAGCCTATATTAACCCCTTTTGGTTCTAGCAGCCTATATTAACCCCTTTTGGCTCTAGCAGCCTATATTCACCCCCTCTTTGGCTCTAGCAGCCTATATTCACCCCTTTTGGCTCTAGCAGCCTATATTCATTCCCTATTTAGCTCTTACAGCCTTCATACATCCCTTCAAAATATTTGATTCAATACTTAAACCCAACCTTCTTTAAGGATGCGAAATACGGAGACATCAAGATTAGAGGGAGTAGAAAGGGTCCAATATCAACAATATAAATATTATCTTGGTACCGGAATTAACACTCCCAATGTAATGACTTTAGGTGAATGTGGACGGTACCCGTTGTTTATAAACAGTTCGTTTAAATGCGTTAAATACTGGCTTAAACTTGTTCATATGCCATCTGATACAAAATGTTATTTAACCCTGATTCAGTTGTTAGACAGAACAGGGGGAAAAAATGTTAGACTTATTCTGTTTTGTTCAGGTCTGACTATGCATAGGTCTGTCAAGATGTTGGATGCATAGTTAGTTTTCTTAACCTTTTTGAAGCCCGCTTGAAAGAGCCAAGAATGGACCAATATATTGTCATCTAGTACTTGATATGAATATTATACACTTTTAAGATAAGCCTAGAAACAGAGAAATATGTATTCGACCTTGTGTACATTTGCTACCGATTTTGCTGGTGCTCGAGTGAAATGTACAAGACTTACTATTGATATCGGGAGACACCACAAAATTCCAAAATCTGAGAGATTATGTACATATTGTAATCTAAACAATATCGAATTCTGTATCATTTCACCACTGTATGTACATCCTTAAAAGATATTCGAAAGCAACACATACCAAATCAATATGTAATTCGACCGTTAGTCCAACAATTTATGGGGGGAAGGGGGGCCCAGTCGTGTAAGGCGCCGCGATTCGCTGTGCAGAGTTGCGTCCCTTAGACACGCCAGAAACCTATGATTGCGGGTTCGAATCCCGGTTCGCCCCGTTTATGTTTCTAGGTTTGTCAGCACCATACCCGTGCTCGTGGGTTTCACCAAGGTGGTAAACGTCTGAGACCTGCATCACTTCGGGCTTTCCTCCAACATTAAGCTAACACGCCGTGATATGACTGGAATACTGTTAAAACCCAACTCACTCACTCCAACAATTTATTCGCCTTATGGCAACCTCATATTATCCAGCTATAAAATCTGTTATGTCATATTTCAAATATGCCTTATTGATCAGAAATGTACAGAAATGAAACATGTGATTCTGCTTGTACTGTATTGTATCCACCTCATGTGGGCTTAGGAACTATCTTACAATAAACATTTGAACTTAAATTCATCGCTTTTTTAGCTCTTACATTCTATTGCCATCCCTTATTTAGCTCTAACAGCTCGTCCCCGGTTTAATTCTTAAAGCCCATATTCATCCCATTTGTACCTCTCTAAGGGACTTGAGACTTCCTTTATTACTCATGGCGCACCTTGTAAATGTCTTTGTTTAAACATACGTAACTTTAATGTTTGGGACTATATGATAGACTACTCTGGGAACCAGACCATGTTCCTCTGCAGAGTGAAGGCAAAGCCATCAGGCGACTTTGGGAACATACCAAATACTCTGTGAATAAAGATTAAATGAAATGCAGTGTGTTTTATGCGTACAGTTTTTGTTGTTGAAACAAGAAACAAACAAATAGTAACATTGTCTTTGGGCATATTTGGGTGTTGGTTTCACTGTAAAACATTTGGTTTCAAAAGTCCTATTGTTTTGTATGATAAGAAACCTGATCGCCGTTCACTCTAAGTGTATGGTGGTGCGACTGGTTTCAGGCAAATACCAGGCGTGGTGACCTAGATACAATGACCCACGACAGAAAACACTCCAATACAAGTAGTTGTGTAAATATAGAAAGTTCTTATATACTTCATACT